ATTTAGAATGATCTACAGTAATAACCTGTAGGCAATGATTTAATTGACTAGAGAATTTATCCAAGTCAGTTAAGGAGTGAAATATCATTCCCTAAGTTGCATCTAGAGAAATAGTTTTCTATAATGGGTGAGTTAGTATGTGAAAGTCAATATCTTTGTATATATACAATAAAGATATACCATGCTAACCCGACTGCAGGTTAAAAAAAAAAAAATTTAAAATAGAAATAAATAAACATCCCGAAATTCTAATTTATTTCTAATTAACAATAATTTTTTTCTTAAAACAAACATATTGTACATATACTGTATATAATATATAGTATATAAAAATATTAAAAATAAAATTGACTTAAATTTACTATTGTTATAGTATAATTTAATTAATGAGATGCGATTTACAGTATATACTGTAAAAATAATTATCTTACCTAATAAATTTAACGATATGATTTTAAATATTTTCGAATTTTAATATTGAAAATTTCAAATAGTCATATTGAATTAAAAATATTTATACTTTTTATCGTATTATTTTCAGAGGACATTTCTAATTTTGATGTAGTAATATCAAATCTAATCTTGAGATGAACTTGATTGTTAAAATAATTATTTTTTATAATGCGCATGAAGTAACACGGCCGTGTTACATGACACAAGACGCAAGCAAACTGTGTATATCAGTGTACAACGGTGATCTAAAGGGAGTAAGAGTCAGACTTTTGACTTCACTTTGACACAGATCCGGTGAGTGAGTCCATATAACGCTCTCAACAACAAAACTTTACCTTCGCTTGGAAACTTTTTTTATTTGAACAATATGTAAAAAGAAAAACCGTTTCGCCTAGAATGATTGAAACACTTATTGTTTGTGAATCATTTAAGATCAAATCCACTACTTGTCGAAAAACATACCTAAAAATACTTTTGCTCATCATATACATTATTGAGCCGGCTGGTTGTTCAGCCTTTTTGAAAAATTCTCTAGTTGAAACACTGCTTATTGACGAACCTCGTCCTTTAGATGCGCTTCTATATATAAACTTTTCCCTTTCACTTAAGTCCGTCGGTTTTTCTAACTTTGTCCAACCATAAACCCTCAAGATAGACCACAAGAACTAAAGCAATGAAAGCTCACCTTTTTTTTACTTTTTTCTGACCTTTGGATTCGTTATAATCTTTGTGTAGAACAGATTTACCTTGTTCTACAACAAATACTCCTTGCGCCTTTTTCATCGATAGAAGTCAACCACCTTGTTGCATACACCTCACCGTGAAAATGAACTCTAAACGGCGCATCGATCATTCCGACGATGAGGGTCCTCACCACAGTCGCGATAAATTTACACGTGAACGTAGAAGCAGTACCGAACGCAGGGACAATCGAGAACGAGATAGAGAACGAGACCGCGAGCGAGATCGCGACAGGGAGCGAGATCGTGAACGGGATCGGGATCGTGCTGGATATAACGACAGACGAACGAAAAGAGACAACTCTTCCCCAGAGGACAGAGGTAACTGCAAATTTAAATGCTTATGCGCAAATTTTCACGAACCGATAATTGATGGAAGGTTAATTTGACGAACGATGATCTATCTAGATTCATCTGCGAACTATCTAGATAGGCGTTCGAAAAGAAGACGGTCAATTTCACCTGACTCGAGGAGACCCCCACCTGCTGATGGGGGTGATCATTATATTCCTAATTACGATAAGGAAGGATACACACCGGGTCCTCGATATAACGGCAAACCAGGAGACACGCGTTACCCACCGCACGGATTTCCAGTTGGCCTGCACATGGGTACATATTTTTTAATACATAAATCACGCAATATAAGAGAGACATTCAGAGCTTTATCATTTACAAATGAACATTAGGATTTAGCGTTCCTGCACCACCCTTGATGACTCCTGGAGGTCCCCTCATGCCGATGGATTGGACGACACAGGGAAGGTAGGTCGTCGAGGGTTCAATCAGTTTTTTATCCAAGAGTTCGAGATCATATGATGACAAGTGCGTAATCGTAGGCAGGAGGCACTGAAGGATCCTGATCAACTAGACTTCTTGGTGACCTTTAAATACTTTGCCGAATTTCTTCAGTCGTCCCAGCCTAAAGTGCGCTTCACTGATGATGACTTGCATAAGCGATACAATGATTACAAGGAAGCCTTCGGTGTCAAGCAATTGAAAACCTTTTTTGACGCTCACAAAAAGGAAGAATGGTTTCTCGAGAAGTACCATCCGAAGCATATGGGGCCGAGAATTGAGGCGACCAAGATATTGAAAAGGAAAGGTTACAATCAATTCCTCGAAGATTTGAAGGAAGGTCTTTTCGATAACATTATTAACGATGTGGTCGAGGAGAGTAAAGACGATATGAAAGTAGAAGGTAAGATTTTGTAAAATTCTAACAAAGGTTCCATACCGGTCGTCTTGATTTTAGCTTAATGTGGCTTACCATCGAATACAGATAGCAACACGGAGAAAAATGATCCCGATGAGGATGCTAATCGTCTTTTCATAAAGAGTGTTTCACCGAGTATTGCTAGGCAGAAAATTGAAGACGTAATTTAATATAAATTTGAACTTTTATTTTTAATACTTGATTTGCAGGGGTAGTAAAGTTTTCTTTCTTTTTTTTTTTTTCCTCCTAAAGATGTGCAAAGAAATCTCTGGATTCAAGTATCTTGCATTGTCTGAACCTAATCCTCAGAAAAAGTTTCATCGGTTGGGATGGATCGTCTTCGAGGAAGGAACCGACATGGATAAAGCGTATGAAAAACTTAATGAACAAAAGGTAAAAATAAAAATGACCTCAATATAATGACGACGAGAATCTTATTCTATAATTATCTTATACTTATGTCGCGAGGTTTAACCAATCTAATTTAATTCTTGATTCAATTTAGATTGATGAATTCGTCTTTTACCTAGCTCGTCATAAAAATCAGACCGGACCAGTCCGCAATCGTACAACACCGGATATTGCGAACCAGATTGATCGTTTGAAGAAAGATTTATCATTTGCGATCAAACTTATTGAAAAGTTGGACAATGATGTCGACGATTCGTTTAACGGTGTTCAAACGATCAAACAAAGGCTTGTGCTCATCTCCAATGACGAACAGGATGAAACTACCACGGTAAACAATCTATTGAAGTTAACTATGGTTTTTTTTATTTTTTTAACCGATCGTGCAGTACCTACTTTAATTAAAATTTCTCAAAAACAATGATCCAGGTTAAGAGAGCTTTAGATATTCATATCGAATATCTACGCCGCGTACATCTTTTTTGCTATTATTGCGGCAGCGAATCTGATTCCGTGGAAGAACTCAATAGAAAGTGTCCTGGCCGTCATTTGAGAAGTGTGACTGGAACTAGCGATGCGAAGTCGGCTGGCAAATCTCAGAAGGAAAAGCAAATCAATGGTAGGTGGTAAGAAATTATCGCTTAATAATCATTTATTTGAGAAAACTGACGTATACAATAATTGTGGTTAAAAGCTTCGGCTTGGATAAAGACTTTGGATAATAAGATCAGTTACAAGACCGACCCTCAGAAATTTGAAAACGAGATCGAAAAACATGGTGGTCTAAATGTCAAGGCGTAAGTATTTTAATGCCAATAGTGCGTCAAAACTTCCTTACCATTAGGGGTCATGCCTAAAGACGCGTCCCAATCCTTATCTTAACCTTAGAGTTATGGAAACATTCTATAGTGAAAACGTAATTGAGGTGGAAGCCGGACGTAAGTTCAAGTGTAACATCTGTGGAAAGTTGTTTAAAGGTTCCGAGTTTGTTAAGAAGCATATCGACTATAAGCACCACGACATGGTTGAAACCACCACGAATGAGGTATATCTATTTATTTATTTTATTTTCATTTTATTTTTTATTATTTTTCAATATTCTCGAAAAGTAGTAAAGTAAATCGATCATTCCTTCGTCCTTATTTTACGTTAGGCAAAGTTCTACAACAATTATGTACTTGACCCGAACCACCTCCTTCCCACCACTCCGCCCAACCCCACTGCGGCACTTAGTGGGCCTTCAACTGTCTCCACCCTTCCACCCAATCCATTCCCTGTGATCGCCAATGCTCCGCCACCGCCATTCATGAATTTTGGATTTCCCATCGTTGGCGCTGCCGCCGGTACTCCTCACGATCAAATTCCGAGAATCGGTTTTGACGACCGGGATGATCGAGACCAACGCAATTCCAGATCTGCCGGTGATCGTCGAAGACAAGCATCCAGTTCTAGACCGAAGTAGGTCTTTCACTTGTCTTTCATTAAATCTTGGATGGTTTTAAAAATTAATAGCATTAATTATTTTCGATCAGGTTTTAATCTTTACCAAATTATGTTCCATTTAAAAGCGATTTCAACGCGAGCTCAGATCCTCGACAAGTGAAATCTTATGTTGACCTGGACGCGCCGGCCGAAGGAGACATCGAGATCAAATATTGAAATAGAGGGCTTCTTAATTAATGGATCTCACCGTGCCTCTGACCAAAAAAAGAAAAAAAAAAAATTTTTTTTTTTTTTTTCTTTTTCTTCCTTTTTCTTTTTTTTTTTTTTTTTCATAATAACATTGAACTCTTCGATTTGCTTAACGACGAATCGGTTAATATTTTCTTATTCTGTCTAAGTGATAAATTCTCTAATATTTATATAAAATTCGAAGTTACCGAATAATCATCTATAGGGTTTGGAGAATAAGAATTGATTCCGAAGTACTACATTTTATTGTTGATTATCTTGTGCTTTTTTATAGTTTGTACCATCCTCTTTATTCAATTTAGCAGGGTCTGTACTGCCTTCATTAGAGGATAGCATAACAATTGATATTCATGAACTTATACTTCAATAAAGAGAGCCATGCTTTATTTACTTCAGTTTATTTAACAAATACAAAGATCGAACACATTTACCACTTACTAACACATCGTCGAACGAAAAAAATAAATCATGCGCCATTACAAAGATGACTTTCATTGGACGATTTTTCCAACCGGAAGGTATTTTTTGCGGAAAAAAGTGAACCATTGATCGAGGGTCTTTAACTAATTCGGATAAATCGTTCGTTCATCATATATAGGCGAAAAATAATCTAAACGATTGAGCAGCAGAAAAGGCATCTACCTGTTCTTCATTCAATGTGCTATAATTTCCAATGGCGTCTTCGGGGTTCAAGGAGCTTAAACCGAGGCCCTGGAAAGCATGATAGAGTTGGTTATTTTGTGAATGTTCGGTTAAGAAAAGAATTGCATTCGGCGCCCGCTTACCTTTGAGACGTCTTTACCAGCATAAATATGATAATTACCACCGGGTCCGTACGACTGACGGTTCTCTGATACATCAAATACTATGCCCTTTACTGCAACATAAATTGGTTCTTTTTCGTTGCTACCGGTGAACTGCGCGGTGGAAATTATGAAATTTCAAATTTCCGCATAAAGATACGATTGAAAAGAAAAAACGATATACTATATAGATGCATACTTTTGAAAGTTCTTCCAGTGTAAAGGGCGTATCGTTTAATGGCGGTAGGTCTGTCTTTGGTGTGGTGGGGGGAACTATGCCGCTATGTGATAAAAGAAAAAAAAAAAAAAAAATTTTTTTAGAATTACGTTTAAAAGCTTAACGTTGCGTTCTCCTTGGGCGACAATCAACTCTATGCAGAACGTGAATCAACCGACTTTACTACCTCATGTTGAGGAATCAAGAAATCAGGGAAGTGAATTTGTTAGCAATGGAATGCATGGATACTTATTTATATTTTTAATAATTCGACCTGTCACGTTTTAATTCAATACTTAAATTTATTAATTTACTGCATACGTAGCTCACTCCTTTCAAACACAAGCATATCATTGAATTACGAAAAAAAAAAAAAAATTTTTTTCTCTAAATAATCACAATAATATCATACTATTGGAATAAACTTAAATAAGAGAACGTAATCTATACAAGTTCACCCCATCCCGCAAATGGCTAAATCCCTCATTTTTTGTAAGACCTCATCAATCCTACTATCCACAGGAGAATCTTGAGGGGGAAAATATTCTTGCAACGAATTTAAACTGTCATAACTGTCCTGACAGAATTTAAGTTGAATTTTTACCAACGCCTCAAACGTGGGGTCCAGATAGGGAACTCTGAGATCAATCAACCTAGGTAATTCAGTTATTAATTGGGTATTTAGCGACTCGTAAAGTTCTCGAGCCATATTTGATACTTCTTCGGCCTACAAAAAATTTTCCAATTCAATTTACTTTGAAACAAGAAACCAATTTAGCGATCCTTTTTGTGACTCCCTTACTCTTGACAACTTGGTAGGATCATCTGATGACTTTTCAACCATCTTGCGAACTTTGCTACGATGGGCATCATAGTCCAATAATTTTTTTTCACGTTTCTTAATAGCTTCATTTATATGCGGAAAATAAGCACAAAAACGGGCGACAGGCTCCGTTACCGTTTGACCATATGGTTCATCCTATGTGATAAGATACCTTAATCGGTATAATGTAACATGTACCTTTTGAAGAACAAAAAAAGAAAAAAAATCTACCGACCAAATGAGTTCGACAATTAAGTTCTAACTCGTCAATGGCCTCCTTGTATTTCCTTCCAGCATATACGTTTTCGGTAGAATCTTCGTAAAATTGGTTAATCGTTTCTGCAATACGCACTTGCGCACCGTTCATGGCTTTTTTATGAAGATGATTGTTAGCAAAAAGGAAAATAATTGTGGAATAATCAATATTTCATGCAAACACTAACCGCGAAGAGACACTATATATCCTTTAGCCTCTTTGTGCAATTTTTCTGTTTTAGACTCTAAGCTGTTTAGAAAAGCAATGATTTCTGAGTATCTTAATAATGCCGAACTTTCCCCTGAACTCAAATCTGCCTGTCTGTCAACTGACCTCTTAAAACGGCGCTCTTCTTCCTCAAACTCCTTGTCGACCTTGTGTGATGGATTGAGTCAATTTTTACCAAGCTTCACGTTAGAATCGAGGGAACAGCCTAAGGACTCACCGTTTTGTCGATGGTACCGATTTTTTGGGAAATCTAAAAAATTCAGTGTAAAGGCTTGTGAATTTACAAATTTACGGAATATGTAAGAGGAATGTTTGGGGATTACCTTTGTTCCGGTACGATCTATTTTCTTCTTGAAACCTGACCTATTCAAACAGCAACCATGGTAAACGAAACAAGCTGCTTGGTGATAATCTGACGCATTTGCAGTAGGTTGTGAGCATGATGGAAAAAGAGTTCCCTACCAACTCATTTTTTATCGCTAAGAAAAATCAATTTTTATCAAATTCGAAGGATTCGTGTTTGAACGAATTACGTATTCGCACACTTTAATAATTAGCTAGGGTCGCACGAAATTAGACCGTGACCAATTTTATACGTTTAAAAATATATAATTAATACTTTTATATTGTTTAAATAGTTTATTTTTTACTACAGTATATATACAGTATATAAAGTTAATAGTAACCTATCATGAAGCCTATTTATAGAAGTCCAGTATTATCACATGAACGAATAAACTTTTTTTAATATAAAATATACTTATGTATATACTGTATATTATTTAACTTATAGTGATAGCCTGTAAACATTGAACTTCTTAGTTAAAGAATAATCCAAATTATAAAGGAAGCAAAATATCCTCTTCTAAGTTATATCTAGAAAAAAAAAAACTTTAATCATAAATAAGTTGATATATAAAAGTTATAATTTACAATTATTTTTATTAATTTACAATAAAGATAATCTGATAATAAATTAAAAAAAAAAAATCATGATTATCTAACAAACTTATTTTAAGTTAAAGTTTCTAAGTTTAATTAAATAAATATTTTTTGATTACTTATATTATTGATTAATTATTAAAATTAAAAAAATTTTTTAAAAACTCTTTATTCATATGAGTAATTATTTTTGAAAGTAAATCAAAAATTTTTTGATATGATCCTAAAATTTATATTATATATGTATTGTTTAAAAGTTGGATTCAAAAAAGTTATATTTAGTATTTTTTTCACCTTCAAAAATAATTACCTATATACTGTATATATTATATATTTTTTTAAATACCTTCTATCAAATTAGTTATATATACTTTATTAAATATTTGTAAGTTGTACATATAAAATGAGGTACTAAAGCTAATTCTCTAACTAATTCACTTATCTTGATTGTATTACTTTTTTAAGTATAATTTCAGAAGTAATTTATTGTTTTGTTAATAGTTTAAGTAAAGACCTTTTCAACTTCTAATATCATTATCTACAAATCACTATTATAAATTACTTATTCAAGTTCTAACAAAGATCAAAACTTACCCACTTCATACTATATTTCACATTATTTAATAAAATTTTTTCAATTTTTTGTCTTTAATTTTTTTTTTTTTTTTGTGTATTGATTTTTTTTAAGAATATATTAATCTTTTTATTTTATCACTTTTACAAATTCTTGATATTTGTTTTTATTCAATAATCTTTTCATATCTGGCATTTTATATTTTCTTTTAGAAATAGTTATATATTTTCTTCTGCATTTTTCTTATTCAACTTCTTTTTTCTTTTTCAACTTTTTTATCATAACACTTCAAATTTTTTATTTTTATAATAAGATTTTTCTCTATTAGTTTTATACAAAAGTTAAGTATATTTTAACTATTTTCTGATATTCTTTCTATTAGTTTTACTATCTGTTTATTAATCTCTTCTATTTTTTTTTTTTGGTTAACCACAACTGGTATTAGATGCAAGTCTTTTATTAAGAATTATCTTAAACTTGAACTTGGGTCCTTTGGTATGACACCAATCATCTCTTACAAACTATATATCTTTATATACATGCAGATTAATGATAACCTATCGCAGATAGTCCTAGTTAAGCCTACATATCACTCTGAAAATGAGGCAGACTCAACTAGGGGCCGGTGATTAATAATAGTCAAAACAGCACTATTGGTATAGTTAGCACATCTGTTTATAAAAGAACTTAATATTTATACTAATTTATACACTAGATTGAATTCGCAAGGGTTATTTAACCACTCAGATATCTTGATACTTTTTACTTGAACCTCAAAAGGGATTTCTTTCTTCTTCATCACCACTTGTAGCATCACAGACAAACCCTGTTCAGTAAGTTCTTTATTTAAGCAAGCACCAGATTAGGATATTTTAGGCTAGAGTAGTTAAGTGATGATTTAGTTAGGAAAAAACAGATTTTTTGTTGCATTGGGCCTGGAAACCAGTTTGGGTCAAGATATAGGCCATGGATCTTTCCTTATTAAGGGCCATGATCCTAATAAGGCATGATCATCCTATGCTGATCTTTTGGAGAGGGTAAGCTAACCATGGTTTTTGATGGAATTTTGGGAGAAAATTAAAACAAGAGGATGTCCCATTGTCATATTCCTTGAGTTGAGTGGTGGTGGTATTATCAAGTATTCAAAGCAAAAGTTCTCATCTAGCTGTTCACTTCTGACCAACATAATGGCAGTCTAGACCCTCAGCAAGTAAAACCTTATACTTTTGATACTGTCAGATGAAATTCTCACCATTATTACCTCTTTTCTATTCATATGGCTTGGTAAAGTAGTTAGTAATTATAGAAAAGTATACCTAGAATTTTGAAAGTGTAGCCTCCCTTGCTACAGATTCACCTTTCAATCATATGAAGTCTTGTTTTGATCTTTTTTGTGTTTGAGCCCACTGTCTTAACCAGGGAAAAGCCTTAATATACCATGGGATTAATAATATGGTTTGGTAGAAAGAAGGAGTAAGAAGCCTAGGAAGAAAACCTTGAAGAAGGAAAAAGCTATCTGTCAGCAGGAAGGATGTAAAACGAAGGGGTAAGAGATAAATGGAGGAAAAAAAAAGAACACGAGGGGGAAGGTTAAGAAGTTGAAAAAAAAATAGAAGATATAAAAGTATTCTTGTTTATGATGACTCAAGCATACACAAAGCCTCACTCCAAGAGTATTCTGCCCCAAAAGACACTTTCTTTTGTCTTAGACGTTTGCCATATGCAGAGTTCAGATCCACTTGCACTTCCCTAGATGTACTACTGCTTTCTATACATCAACAAGTCAGATAACAGAGCCTTGTGTGGTGTCAGCACAACTCAGACTTTGTCTGTTGCATGGTTGGTATTCTCGTATAGAGGACGGAAGGGGGAAAGGGAAAAGAAGAGAACTTCCTAAAAAAGAAATTTTCACAAAGTAAGGGGAAGTGGAAAAGAGTTTTTTATATCAATATGAATTTTTTTACTTAATTATTTTTTATACTACCAATTTTTAATCAAATATATCAATTTTATTACAAGTAATATCATTTTTTCAGTTTATTCTATTCTACTTAAATCTTATAGCCTAATAAAGGATTTAAATAAATATATATATATATGTGACTAATAAGTATTCAATTTTATACAACTTAACTTGATTATAAATATTATTCTTAAGTATAATTAAATTGATACATTACTGATAGTAATTTAAAAATATATTTACTATACTATTAATTATTAATAATCTATTTTATTAATAAATTATTTAAAATAAAAACTTTAGATCCTATTTTAAATATAGAAACTTAATGGAATTCAATATATAATATAATTACATATACTATATAACTAAAAACAATAAATTTATTTCTTATTTATTAATATTTATTTAAATAATTTACTATATATATATAAATAATTGAATATCTTATTATTATTTTTTTTTTAAAACCCTCTGTCAGGCTAGGTATGTGTGCTTTTTTAAACATATGTATACTTTACATTAAAAATGTATCGCTAAAGCTAAGTTTCTACCTAACTCACTCGTCTCTATTTTAAGAATTA